CAGTACTGGGGTGTGACCACATGCAAATTTCAAACCTTCCTGGTGAAGTTGGTTAACTTTATATGGAATTATTAAATATTCTATGGACCAAAAATAAAGAGCACAAGTGTTTGGCCTAGCCTAGATGGCTCAAACACTTACCTAGATATGGGGAGACTCAGTTCCTGATCTGTTTAAATATCTGATCTAATGAAAATTTAATATAAACTATTTAAGCGGTCTTGGGAGCAGGGACTGGAATCCAAGTCTACCCCTTCATAGAGTGTCAAGCACTCTCTTGCTCACTCTCTCTCATCCAATGAATATTTAATTTATGCAAAATGCAACAGCTTCAAACAGGAGAGATTAATGGGTATGGGTTTCCACATCCACCTCATCAGAATCTGTTGCCTGGTGGTAGGGATGTCCCTTAAGGAGAGGGCAGGAAATATGCATCTGAATCCCTTCTGTAAAGGACAGCCATGAGTCCTGATCATCCACTTCCTAGCACTTCTGGTGCGTAAAAGACACTTCCTCTTCCTCTGGCCCCTACTAGTTTTTTAAAAGACTTAGAGAGCATCTACCCATGCTATACCACACTGAATGCATGGTGCACAGTTATTTTTAGCAGCTACTTTGCCGTAGCGGTGCGGTATAACAGGGGGGCATGTTGCTATGGAGCAGTAGCTGCTGGCCACATGTAGATGCCCTCAGATGCTATGTCACTGCACCACATTGCTATGACAACATATAGAAATGCCCTTAGGCACCAAAATCAGTGCGGGTTCCTGACTATAATCCACCATAATGCAAATCATAACGAGTACCAGGTAGCTCAGAACAAATGCCTAAGAGCCAGTTGGAGGGGAATTTAAGACACAGTTCTCTGTTGCACATGCAGTGACTACAAAATGGATGGCCCAGTAGCAAAGGTACCAGCCTAGAACCCAGGAGACTCAGATCCCATTCCCAGTTCTGTCACTGACATTCTGTGCAACTGTGAGTGACTCTTCCTTCCTCTATGGCACTAATGATAAGTGTGGTCCTTGTAGGTTCTACCAGATTACCAGTAATCTGTGATTCTCCAGCACCTTCTCTATCAACTTTATGCTATGGTGACAATGGGCTCGGAATAAACAGAGAACTGTAACAATACTCATAATTAACTGACTGAAGTCAATGCAACTAACTGAAATGATCAAGGACTAAATGTATGAATGGGGTTTGCCGTATGAACCCTAAAATAAGCAATAATTTGCATGATGTGCCTTCTATAAAATAAGGGCCCAGTTCTGTGGCCTTTCTTCATATGAGAAGTCCCTTTTATTTGAGGATTGGACCCTGAAACATTATCTCACCATTCTCTCTATTATTAGCTACATCAACAATGTGTCTGGTTCACTTTGACAGTATTTGGCACAATATATCAAGACGATACTGCCTTTGAACAGTCAACTCTTTCCTTTACTTTTCTCCTTTCATTTTTTTTAAAGCCTTTAGTTTAGAGGTTATTCCCTGTGCACATATGCAACAAGAGCAGAAAAGAGGTATGCTACAAAAAGGATAAAGTATATCAAGGAAAATGAATGCAGGCAGGTGAAAGCCTATGAAAGGTTTTAAAGCAGATGCACATGTAAAAGATTAAATGAGGCCACTGGAAGATAATCAAGACCAACAGTGAAAATTTGAAGCAGAATTATGCATTGGTTGAAAGAGAAATTCTTAATCCATGAGGATTGTCTCTATTTGGAGTTCAAGATTCCTTTTTCCTAAGATGAGACACTTTTATTGAAATGCCCTGGAAGAAATCCCAAACAAGAGAAAAAAACTGCATCCCAGAATATACTACCATCTTATTTTTATTAACTATTTTGTATACTGCAAATAAATCACCCCTAAAAATACTTTATTAGAAAATATTAGTGGTTCGTCACATTTTAGAAAAGATGACAAACATTAATTATACATTGCAAATTTTAAGCTTACTAAATTTAGGTAGGCATGCTTATTTTTGTTCAATGCAGATCTTCTCTGAAAACTGACTTTTTAAAACTGGCATTGCAGGGTTTCATGTTAGTTGTTGCTGAATCATTCCATATCAAATGCTCTTAGTTTATAATTAATTTTTCCCTAATGTAATCCTGATACTCAGTCTGGCATACAAATTAATCTAGGATATTTTCTTCCTGCACATTGGCCATAAAAACAGATTTCACAGGCTAGTTCTTCCCTTAGTGACTGCCACTTGTGCAGCTCCCTTAACTTTGACAAAAACTGACTGAAGCTTAGTAAATAATTCTGTAGATCACTAGTTATGAACTTCTTCTGGGTTTCCATTCAGGTGTAAGGGAAGAGCAGAGTGGATTTGCCTTCAAGTACCTCTCTGTGACCTCAAGTTTGAGAACATATCTCTTAGAGCAGTGGTTCTTAACCCATGGGTCATGACTCAAAAATGGGTCACAAGAATATATGAAAGTGTGGCGAACAAACTTTAAAAATGGATTCTCCTTTAAAGGAGTCAAATGTGGGGAAACCATGGCTTTTCCCTTGCAGGCTGGCAGAGATCCAGCCTGCAAGGGACTGCTTGGGGACCCCCATACCCCACAGAACCCCCCCTGCTCCATACACCCACCCCCCGCCCCACACTTTGGGGGGCTGGGGCTGGGGGACAGAGAGTCAGGAGTGAGGGGCACTGGGTCAAGACTGGCCAGATGGGTCTTGCTACAGAAAAGGTTGAGAACCACTGTCTTAGAGCATAGATCTGAAACCTATAGCAGAGGTTGGGGGGAATCAGCAGCACAATCCAGCTAGAGCAGCAGAGGGCCCTACCACCTGCCTTTCTCCATCTAGGCCCTACTCAGCATCTGCTACTTGCCAAGGTATGCAAACCTGGATTGCTAGCAGCAACCCATGGTAGCTAAAGATTTTCAGCTAGATGATGCAAGAGAAGGAAGCAATCTTAGTCTACTCCTTCTGAGTTACACTGATGCCCCATGACCATGCAAGGAACAATTCTTTTCGTTAAGTGGATCACTTTTTCCATAGGTTTTTTCTGACTTAAACCATGCTTTAAGGTAATCATGTTAAGCTACTATCCTCCTCAAATTGGAAGGGTGGTAGTTATGCCCTGTTCTTTGTCTCACTACAACCTGGTGGAATGAGCAGAGTTAAACAAACGTGGAGGCACTAAGAAACATTTTATGCATACCATCATTTCCCCCTTCCAATTACAGTATGTAAGAAAATAATTTTGACACTATACAGGTCACTATTCTGAGATTATTTTGCATGCATTACAAAGAAGTCTAGAGCATTCAGTAAAAGCCTATTTTAGAGTTACAGGAAGGCAGGTTATTGAATTCAAGTGTTTTCATCATTTTCCTGATCTCTGTCTCTGTCCCTCTGCTAAATTGCTGTTTTTCCTAGTATCTTTTTCTTTAGCCAAAGCTGCAATTTTAAAATTCAGGGCTGAGTAGTCTGTAAAGATAGCTTCTCACATAGTAGCTTCTCTAGGGACAGAATGCCTGTGGAAAGCAAGTGGATCTGTGGTCTGACTCAAATTTAATGTTGCTGGCTCTTTATCTGTCAAGGTTCACATCCATGACCTAGTACTAGGTTCAAATAATTGCCATTTATTTAGACTCTGTTGGCTGAAAGACTTCTAGATGAAAGAAACATAAATATTGAAAAAAAGTTCAATGAATTAATTTTCATAGTAAACTGATAATTATATTCCTTAACCCTTTAGAAATAAAAAAAAATTTACCAGCAGAAATGCTACCAAATTAAATATAAAAGCAAGCCACAAAGGGCATGTCTACATGTGCAATTAATTTGAATGAATAAACTCCAGTACATATGCGCCGGAGTTCATTGCTCCCAGGCACACTGTTCGAACATATGCTCAGGACTAAAGCATATTGAGCCAAGTTGCAGCAGTCCTGGCTGGAAGGGAGCCTGCAGGGGTAAGCCTGCCAGCCTGGGGCCACTCCAACCGGGCTCAATGTGCTATGGAGGATCTGGCTGGGGCATGAGAGTGCTCCAGTGCGGAGCTGGCTGGCAGGCCACCCCCGCACTGAAGCACCCTCATGCCCCAGCGAGCCCCATCACGGTCCACATGTGCACTGTTGCACTCTAAATAACCCCGCCATAGGATAGTATTTGTATTGACAAGTATTATCCTACTGTAGCGATTATTAGTTTACTGCACCGTAGTATGTGCTCATGTTTCGATGCTAAGACTTTACTGCAGAGCGAATTAGACAACTGCAGTCATCTCATGTAGACGTGCCCAAAGTGTCTCACTATCTCACCTAAAAGCAAAATATTGTTACCTAAGGTAATTACATAGCTTCTTATACTCCCACCTTCCATAATAAATTGTGCTAACTGGGTGTGTCTACATGTGATGCTACATTGCCATAGCAATGCACTACGGTGATATAGCATCAGCAAGCACAAACTGTGATGCTGCAGCTACATTAGTGTAGCAACACACTTCATAGTGTGTTGCTATGGTGACGTAGCAGCTAAAAATAGCCATGTGCTGCCGGCATGGCGCACTATGGGCTGCTATTGCTCCGTCATTTAGTACTTCCAAAAGTACCTCCAAAAGTACTAAATGATGGCACAGTAACAACAGCACCATGGGGGCATGTTTAGACATGCCCACCTAGACTTACAGTTTCATTTTTCAAGATCGGAAAGCAAACTATAGCTTGCTATTTGCGGGGGGAAATAAAACATACCAATTTTATATTCCAAATCCTTGGAATCTCCTAGCAAGAATATTAAATACTTAAAAAACAACTAACAAGTTAGGAAGAAAAGAGAGAGGAAGAATTTATAATACAGTAGTAACAACTTTCTACTTCCTTCTTGCCACTCAACGACACTAGGGAGAACATTATAAACATAAAATTAAGAGTATTCAGTATTACAATCACTGGTCAGAAGAGAGGAAAGGGAAGAGACAGAAAACAACAAAAGTCTAATATCTATATGGTGCCTTGGTGCCTTACCTCCAAAATATCTATCAGGACATTCTCTTCTGGCTGTTTAGTGCTCCTGACATTCTCTAGTAAAATAGAGTAGTACACACCCTGTGGATCAGACTGGTATAAGTTATAGGTGTCTGTCTGGTACCATTCCTGAACAGCCACAAACACTTGGTTCTCATCAGTACTGATAATCTGTAAATCCTGTAGAAAAAAAAGATATGAAATGATGCACAGTTTCATCAAGAGTGTAAGTGACAAATTAGTCATGAATGGCAAGTGTCAAATTAAATTTATGTGATACCTAATTGCAATTTCTCTCAGTCTAGGTATTAAGGAATTTACTGCAACCTGCTACTCTAGATTTCTGATAATGGGGTATCAAACCTTTCAGCTCTAAGTCACCCTTGACAATGCAGACCAGGTAAGTAGAGATCAAATTTGCTAATATCTGAGAGCTGTGCTTACTTTCTTACGGTAAAATGGGTGGTAGAGCATGGGGAGGAGAATTATTCAATTCCCAGCTGAGAGCTATCAACATCCCAAAACTGTTGTCACCACTGCCACTTGAAAGAGAAAGGCCAAAGACTGAACAGGCAAAAATGTGAATTAGTCTCCCAGAATTTAGATTAGAGCATAAGAAACCCCTCTATAATCAAACCGACCATGGAGGACAGAAATGCAGTCCAAAATGAGCCAGAGTAGGTGTGTCTACATGTGGGTAATTAATACACATTAGCCCAATTTAAGCTGCATTAAGGGCATGCATCTACATGTATGCGCCCTTAATGCACCTTAAAAATGGTGATTTTTGGCTAATCCAGCCTAAATGATATATCTGCATAAAGCAAGTACCATATTTAGGTGCGATAAGGTAAGCACATTAACACACATGTAGATGCATCAATGCACATTAACACAGGACCCTCAGTGCCATGTCTGCTGAGATACTAGAGGGCTGGTCAGAGCTGAGCTCCAGAGATCCTGGCTGGTCACCTTTCCTGCTCCAGGGCTCAGCTGCTTTCTGGCAGCCCCTACCTCCAGGCTATAAAAGCCTCCAGCCATTTTGTGCCTTGGGACACATACACCAGGAGCTTGGACAAGCCTATTGGTGTGCTCAGGAGTCCACCAGGCCCCATGTGCCACCCTCAGCAGGACCCTGGCAGCTTATGCCTGTCCTATCCCCTAGCTGGAGCTGCTCCTTGGCCACAGGAGGGTATTGCAAATGGTTACAGACTGCTGCGTCCCTTGCCCAGCCCTGAGATTCCTCCTAGGTCTGCTGGCCCTGCTCTCTATGGCAGCAGGGCCAGCACCTGCTTCCTGCTCCTGCCCACCCCCAGCTCTGTCTCTTTGCAGGTACTGTGGTGAAGTGCCTCTGCTATGTGTCTCCCCATCCCTGGCCATGCCCCTGTCCTGGGTGCTGCTGGCAGTCCTCCTGGGCCAGCATTGCAGGGACAGCTGCACAAGGGCCCAGGTAGCCAGCATGGGGAGCATGTCCAGCACATCATCCCTGTTGAGGCCTGGCCCCACCCACATGCCCATGCCCATACCTCACAGCACTCTAGGGAGGGGCCAACATTCAGAGGCATTTTGCACAGGGGGGGATGCTTGAATGCCCACATTTTTTAGGCCATTTCAGCTGGGGTACTTGCATGAGGCTACTCCCAGATGGTGCAGCAATGCTGCGTGAAGGCCAAGGTCTTGTGGTCACAGTGGGTAGCCATGACCAAGTTCAATCATCAGCCCAGTCCTGCTGGTAAGACTATGCCCTTCATAGGGACCTGACCCATATTTTGGCAACCTGGGAGACAGGCCACAACCCTGCAAGTGTCACCCACAGGAGCAGCCTGTCCTTGCCTCTATCCTGCCCTGATACCTCCAGTGACATGTCACTGGAAGAAGTGAACTTGGACCTTGATTGCCATGCTTTGCCCACCTCCCTGGCTGCTGCATCCACTGGCAGCTCAGGGAGCCCTGGCCAGCAGCTGCCGTGCCCTCAGCTCAGCCCCACACCACACCATAAGGAACAGCCAGCCAGCTCCTGCCTGGTGGAAGTCCTGGCTGGGTGCTAGCCTGCTGCTCACCGCAGGCCATGGACACAGCTGGACACCATTGCTGATAGAGACCCCCATGCCAAGCCACCATCATTGCCAGCCCTGGACACACGGTAAGCCCTGCACCGGGGGAGGGCCCTCCTAGTCCCTGGTCCTGCCCCTGCCCCCACAACCTTCCTGGCCTTGCCACACTCTCCTGGCCCCAGGTTCCCACCCCCACAGCACACAGAGAGGCAGGACAGTTCAAAACTTTATTGAGCAGTCTGTGTCCCCACAGCTGTACAAGCACAAGACTATCATGTCAAGGAAGGCATTAATGCCGGCAGTGATGTCCTCCTCAGAAGCAGGGGTGAGGGAAGTGTAGTGCTATGACAGGTAGTCCTCCAGGTGGTGGTGGAGGTTGTCCCCCATGCCATTGTAGCTCAGGGTCCTGAGCCAGAAGTGCAGGTTTGCCTGGGGCTCCAGCAGGGTCATCAGCAGCAGGGCATAGTGATTTGGGTAGCCCTTTGCCTGCACAAACAGCCGATAATGCACTGCCTGGGGCAAACCAGGGGCATTCTTGGGGCATAGCAGCACCGGGAGGGTGGGGATAGTCCCAGGGCACCTCCCCAGAGAGGCCCCCTGTAGGGAAGGTGGGGGCAAGGCCAGCCTCTCACCACAGTTGTCCAGGAGCCCCATGTACCCCAAAGCCCTAGGCAGCAGTGCACCAGAGTTATTGGCCACCAGGGAGAGGGAGTGGAGAGTGGGGTCTGGTGCTACCAGCAGCCTGGCCTGAACTGCCCTGTGAAGGGAGCAGGGGAGGCAGACTGCAGCTGGGCAGTGAGGGTCCCGATGTAGAGTATCTTATCTGTGCAATGTTGCAAACTTGCACAAAGCCTTCTGTCTCTTGCCTCTGAGGGGTCAACATCTGTATGCAGCGGAGAGACTACAGGGCTCTGTGGGAGTGCTGTAGCAGGGTCACTGCCACCAGCTGCTGGAGCTGCTTAGATGTGCTGTCTGCACAAGTGGTGCACCAGGGACTAGATCCAACTGCTCCAGCGGCTGGTAGAAGCAGTTGAGAACTGGGTAGTGCAGAAGCAGGGATGGCAGCAGGTTCGGCAGGTGCAGGAGATGGCCTGGTGGGATGAGGACATCACTCAGGAGACCGCCTGAGAGGAGGCACGGGGCCAGCCATAGCAGGTGCACTGGGCCCAGCTGGAGGCCCAGGAGCAGTGTTGTGTGGAGCTGCTCCAGCAGCAGCTGGCCAGGCAGGGCCCTGGGTCCTGCCTGCTGCTCCACAGCAGGCACCTGCCCCTTGCCCTCAGGAGCCCCTGGCATTTGAACAGGTGTGGCAGGAGCAGAGTACGCATATGCTACCTGTGTCTGTGCCACACTGTGCTCTGACACAGAAAGTGTCAGGGTGTGCTTTCAAGATGGCTGCTGGGTGCTGGCAGCTGAGCCTGACTTCAACATGGCTTGCAAGTGCTGGCAGCTGTGCCTGGAGGCTTGAGCTCCCCCCAGTGGCCACCGGGTTTCATGGCAGGGCTGCACTGACCTGGGACTAAATGCAGTCCCAATTCCACCATGTGTAGACACCTGCCAAAAAACACTTAATGTGTATTAGCTTAATGTGCATCAAATTTAAGCCTGCTTAAATTCATGTGTAGACGTGCCCAGTAAAAGGAACAAATTCTTTGGGATGGGGTCAATGTCCTTCCATTAGTTTACAAAGCACTTATTACAGAAGGATCAGATCCTGCCTGGGCCCTCTGACTATTATTCTAATATGTGTATACACATACACACCCATATATAGATTTATTTTATTGTCATATACACAACAACATGAGATTCAATGTCCCAAATTCATTATTCCAATATTTTGTGTTTGCAACACCATCCTTCCTGGTTTTCCTGGTTGCTGCTTTCAATTTTTTCATGCAAAATGAAGGCTAGTTCACCAGGAGAAAATAGCTCAGCAAGCAAATATTCAATTGGAAGAAGAAACCAGGAAGTAGCAACACTGAAATAGACAGTGATAATAGAATGAAAATGGAACCTAAGTTTAAAATAGGATATAGCAGCAAAAAATGGTGACTGTCATTTTGGGCTCCTTGGAAAGGGACATCAGGCCAGGGGATAAAAAGTGTATTATCTCTCCTTATACAACTTTGTTGTGAACCACTGCATTCAGTTCTGGTGTTGTTATTATTGGAAAGGTACTGACAAACTAGAAATTCAAAAAAGAGCTCACAAAAATGATTAGGTAGCAGGAGGGAACATAAAAGGAAATATGTAAAAAAAAAACCCAAACAAAAACAAACACTCTTCCTTATGCTTCCACTTCTTTACATAGAATTAGCTCGATTAGGCATGGCAGAGGAGGAGACAAGGCTGTGAATATCTTACGCTGCATGACCAGTATCACTTTGTAAGATATCTTTTGATATGCCTACAAAATTAAGATAACACGATATTAACCTACAAGAAAAACTAGATGAAAAGCATTTTTGTAGTTAAAAGGTGGTTATTGAAATGCTTCACTGAATCAAACTCACTACTCTACATTATTTTTAAAATCTCTGCCATCTAATAATGCAAATTAACCTGTGAGAAAGTCTTCTATAAATTTTCTTATTAACTTGTGATTTCAGTGCCATTCCCCAAAACCTGGCAGGAAAAATTATGTACTGAAGTAAAAGTAGATTTTGCTTTGAATCCTATTAATGTGTCTTTCTGTTGCGTGGTTCAGAAATCACTCAAAGCAAAGGCATTTGATAGAACACTGCTCCATTTAGGGTGCATACAAATGGCTGCACCCTGTCTACAGTCACCCACCTTAAAGTAAGCCATATGATCATACACCAGAAGCAGCATTTACAGATGTTTGCCAGTGCCAGGAGCCACAAGAGAAACCTGAAGTAAATAACTCAGGGTGGAAAAGGATTGGGTAGGATCAGGAGAGGAAGCTGCTGGTGGGTATGGGGAGAGGCACTGGGAAGGATTGTGGGGGCTGGTGGGTCCACAGGCCGTGGGGGATTGTCCATCTGGGAATGGGGGGGAAGTGACTAAACATATCTCAGTCAGGGTCTGAGGTAGGAAGAGCATCGCCCTGAGATTAGGGTGAATGGTTGGGCTTTCCCAGCTCCAAACCCATGCAGATATTCATAG